GCTTTGGTAGCCAGCTGCTTCCTGGGCGCTTTGCCGCCGGTGGACTTACGCGCGGTCTGCTTAGTTCTTGCCATCGTTTAAAGAGTAATCTCGGAAACAAACCAAATAACAAGGTTTGCTCCCGCTAACGCAAACTTATACAGCAGTCCTGGCTTATGTTGATTGGTTGAAAATTTTCCTTAGTTTCATTGGTTCAATGACGTCATTGACTCTTCGCTTATTCGATAGGTCACTTGTCTAAAATCAAAAAACGTTCCTTCCTGTAAGTCCCGAGGCGCGATTTTTTTTAGGAAATCATTAACTTTCCCAACATAAGACATTCAGAAATAGTAACATAAGTTCAAAATAAACATACGATGTACTTTAACTTAATCGAGACCATTTTATAGAAAGCTAGGATCAGCGAACAGGGTAAGGGAGTGGCATTGCTGTGTGCATAACAATAACACAGTGCTGTGCATAAAAGCAGACCGACCCAGGCCGGAGAATCATTTCTTCTAATTTCTGAAAACGCACATCAGGATGGCCTCCGCATCACTGCCACGAAGGAAGATCCTCTCCGCGCAACAGGCTTTGGACCTGCTTCTTGATATGGACGCACTAGATTCTGACGGAGGCCAGGTTTCGTTTGACCAGCAGCTGACTGATGCCTCATTGGAAGAGTCCGAAATGGAGACGGAACAAGAACCCGACATGCCTCCACGAAAGATGCGCCGTGGTACCAGGAAACCCTGTGCGAGCCAGACGGCAAAAAACGGAACTGTGTGGGTAGAGGAGGATATTGGAAGTGGAACGCCCAGTGCATCAGCACATCCCTCGCGCTTCACTGCGTGCGCTGGACCCACAGAGTCTGCCAAGGTTTGTCATTGACATAATACATATGATATTTATATAAACTCGTGTATTATTTATATAAACCCATTTAGATTGAGGTACAAGTAAATTTTCCATTCTCTTTATCTTCTGACAGCGTAAAATTACAAGCGTGCTCCAAAGCTTCCTCTGCCTGTTAGACAAGGGAATGCTGTTGACCATCAAAGAGTGTACGGTCCATCAAGCCAGCAGAACAGAGCCGGAATGGAAGCTGACAATTCATGAACTGATGGCATTCATTTCTATTCTGTTTGTGAGAGCAATCATGTGTCCCGTTGGCGCCATTGTGGATTGCTGGTCGGAAAACTTTCTGGTGCCGCTTATTAAAGAGACAATGTCCCGAGATAGATTCCTTTCAATTATGCAGCACCTTCGATTTGATGACAAGGACACGCGGGCAGAACGGGTGAAAACAGACAGATTTGCTGCGATCTCTGACATCTGGACACGATTCACCAAGAACTGTGCCGAGAGTTTCACTCCAGGAGAACACATGACTATAGACAAACAGGTGTTCCCAACCAAGGTTCGTTGTCCATTCACACAGTATATCGCATCAAAGCCGGATGCAAGTAAATGCAAATTTGGGATCAAATTCTTGATGGCAATGGATTGGGAGACCAAATACATCTGCAATGTGTCCCCTGACTTGGGAAAGGACCCCAGTCATCATAAAGGGGAGAGGCTGGCAGAGAACTTGGTCATGAGTCTGATGGAGCCATTTCTGGATGACGGGAGAAATGTCACAACGGACAGTTTCTTCACCTCACTGTCACTGTCACACAGACTGCTTCAGCGCAACACGACTCTACTGGGCACGGTGAATAAAGTTTGCCGTGAACTTCCTCCATCAGCAAAGGACACTGCAGAGCGAGAGGAATTCTCCACATCAGTGTTTAGAAATGGCAGTGTCTCCTTGACGATCTACACACCAAAAAAAAAGAAAACTGTGTGTCTTCTAAGTTCCTTGCACCGAGACGTGACGATCGGAGACTGCAGAAAGAGGAAACCCAACACGATAAACGACTACAACCACATGAAGGTATGTGAATGTGTATATAATTTTACACCGGTGTTACAATGTTTGATATATACTATATAGGCCTATATCGGGTAGAAAAAAAGCACATATACTCATGTCTCTCTTTCTCTGCTTTTACAGTGTGGTGTAGATGTGTTGGACCAAATGGCACGCATGTATTCAGTACGAGCACCAACACGCAGGTGGCCAGTAGCTGTATTTTACAACATGCTGGACCTGGCGGCGGCGAATGCCTACATTCTGTACAAGGCATGCACAGGGTGGAAAGGCAAAAGAAGATTGTTTCTGAGTCTTCTAGCCAAGGAGCTCTGTTGCCAATTTATGCAGCAAAAGGAAATGGAGGCAGAGAGGAAGGCTGCTGCAGCGTTTGCTTCTGTTGTGGCAGGGCCTATACAGACAACTCAGTGCCAGGTACAAGAGAGCTGCAACAGAAATCGCAGCAGGTTTATCTGTGCAACATGTCAGAAATTCACCTGTGCCAAATGCAGGGAGGATAGTCACTGGGTCTGCAAACGCTGCGATAACAGACAGAAAGACAGACTGTATGTGAGAGTAACCCTTAAGAAAAAAGCCACCAAGAGTCCCAAGAAGGCGGTAAAGCCAGCGGCAGCAAAGAAGGCCACCAAAAGTCCCAAGAAGGCGGTAAAGCCGGCGGCAGCAAAGGCCACCAAAAGTCCCAAGAAGGCGGTAAAGCCGGCGGCAGCAAAGGAGGCCACCAAGAGCCCAAAGAAAGCAAAGGCAGCCAAGCCTTGTATTAAGCTAACTTTTAAATGAAAGTAAAGTGTTTTGGGAGCATGACTGTGGTCATATTTAGGGTTAAAATTATAGAAATAAGTACATATTACCATTTTTAGTGACTCTACAAAACATCTGCGAATCCTCATTTGCGACGGCTTCTGGAACCTAACCTCGCAAATGTCCGAGGTCTGACTGTATAGCAGTTGTTTATGTTCTTACATTCCCACCTTCCCTTTAAACAGTACTCCTTGTATGTAGCTTATGCATCAATGTTGAAATGCTTTCCTTGTCCTAGTAGCATAAAATTCTATTTAGATTGTTTGTTTATTTTTGTTAGTTTTTAAGGCCCTTCTTAGTAGGCCAGTGTCTACTCAAGAGTGTCAACTACAGAGGAAAATAAATTACTCTGATTTTACCATTAATTCTATTTTTTTCCCAGTTACTTTGGCAGTATTGTCTTTTTATTCATTTTAATAGTAATTTAAAATGTTTTAATTTAAATTATATTTCCACAGCTAGCTCTGGCAAAAGTTGTAGTTGTCATGACAAATAATAACCCTGTACCATGCATTGATCACTAACTGCTATTACTTCAGATAAGTAATGATATCTCAGCAACAACTCAAAGACCAAATTTTCTGGAGATGTTCATGACATTATGGGCTAGTTTTAGTAAAAAATTGATCAATTTTGAAATATAGGTTTTTTTGTTATTGAATTCTTAATATTTTAATCAGTTATTACATAGTAATTATTCATATGGGGATGGCATATTATTTATTCAATCCATAGAGCTGGACAATAGCTTTAAAACAGTATGAGGTCCATTTCTGTGCAGCTTATATTAAGGTAAATATAGCCAGTCAAAGTCATAGCCCCCCCCCCAAAAAAAAAGTTAAAATTTGTTCACATTAACGCCCAATTTCAGTTTCATGAGTTACTCATGTGACCAAATCACCATGCCAAGGTTAGTTAAAATCCGTGACTAACCCAAAGCTGGAGAGATCACACAAAAACAAAATTCACTTTTGGTTTTATAACTCAGTGATGGCCAATCAAAATGAAAAGACATTATTTCATTCTGTACGTGTAGGAGCATGTTATCAACCATGGAACATGACTTCACTCAGCTTATGACATTTGTGTACAAACACATTTGAGACACATGTTTTCATTCTATTCATTTAATTCTATTTTCACTCTTTTTATACATAAAACAGACTTGTGTTTCCATATATTTTGTGAATGTGTGTCTTTCATATTTGCATCTAGAGATGGCATGCACTCACACTTACAAATGACTAATTACGTTGATTTTATGTGATCCACTGACTACTTTTATTCTGTTAAAAGCGTGCAAACTTTCTAGGACTCCTCCCTTAAGTCTGGTTCCTCCTGACTTGAAATCTTTTTTTTTTCCTTGCCACTATTGTTTTTGGCCTGGCTTTTGAGACAGTATAATATTGTGAAGATGCACTATGAATTAGAATTCACTAAAGCACGGAACGAAATTACAAATATTTTAATTACCGGTTTCGGCAGTAGTATATTTAGCGTCATATTTGCACTTTTACTGTGCATAAATACCCAGATTATTAAAAATAGATGACCAACATTTCTTTTTGTCATTTTCCTTCAAAGAATCCTTGATATTAGTGAGCTATCATGTGCATGTTTTCACAATGATTTACACAGAGCATTCTGACAAAACGTACAAATGGTACGTCACTCTTTAGGACGAAGTGTGTGGCTCTGAAAAGAGCCTTTGGGTCTTTAGATTTCCTCGCTGTAGCTTTCACGCTTAGCCGCCGAAGCCGTACAGAGTGCGGCCCTGGCGCTTGAGAGCGTACACAACATCCATGGCGGTGACGGTCTTCCTCTTGGCGTGCTTGGTGTAGGTAACAGCGTCGCGAATGACGTTCTCCAGGAACACCTTCAGCACGCCACGGGTTTCTTCGTAGATCAGACCGGAGATACGTTTGACGCCACCTCGGCGGGCAAGACGACGAATAGCCGGCTTGGTAATACCCTGGATGTTGTTGTGAAGGACTTTACGATGACGCTTAGCGCCACCCTTTCCGAGCCCCTTGCCTCGGCCATTTTCGCTTTTTTTTTTTTTTGATAAAAAATGGCAACCAAACCTGCAAACAATATTCTAGGTGGGGTCTTACCAAGGAATTATATAAATGTAACATCACCTCCCTTGACTTAAACTGCACACACCTAGAGGCATAAAATATCTGTACTTTATATTTCTGCTCCCTGCATGGATTACTGTATATTTATTTGCGTTAAATTTCATCTGCCAAGTATCAGCCCATTCGCTAATTAAATCCAGATCCCGTTGTAGCCTCTCTGCTGCTAGATCAGTATCTGCTAGACCACCCACCTTTTTCTCATCTGCAAATTTAACCAGTTTACTGTATGTATTGGTTCAATATCATTAATGTAAATTAGGAACAATAGTGGTCCTAAAATTGAACCCTGCGGTACCCCACTATGAACGCAGGCCCACTGTGACATTGTGCCTCTAATAACTACTAGCTGCTTCCTGTCGGTTAACCAGTTTATGTCTCATAGTTTTCAGAGTATGACTCATTGCACTTTTGTCTCTTTAAAGGCTATTTTTCTCCCCAGCCTGAATGTGTAAGTTAGTTTATTCTGTTTTACTGCTGTCCTTTTAAGGATAGCGCACTAAAAGAGTCTGCTAAAAATTGAACTTTGCCACTCAAGCATTGCAATATTTATTTGACCTGCTACATGTCTATAATCTATTAAACCTGGCCTGCAGATCGATCTTTTGTTTTCCACAGAATAGGAAAAGATGTAATGTTATTCCGCTAATAAACTGGCAAGTTGTTTCATGGCTGCACCAGCAATATTTGACAAAACTATATTGGTTATAGATTGTATTTTCCAGGTATGGGAAGATTTGAACGGGATATATCCCATCCCATCCCATCCCGCTTTCCCTCACGTTATGGTTCCACATTCTGAGACCAGCTTTTCTGTAGTGCTGTGCTGGAGCCACTTTTACTACTTTTTTTGTGGTAGAAACACACAGAACCAGTTCCGGAATGGGAAAAAGCCCAGCACTGGCTCCGGCACTGTGATGGTAGAAAACAAACCATTAGCAAAATAATCCATAACCATGAGCACATGCATTACTGTAGTAGTAGTAGTAGTAGTTGTAAAAGAGTGTCATTTAAAAAAAAAAGGGACGCTGATTCTCTCTCGTTGGTAACCTTTACAGAGTGTTCGATCAGAACACTGGGTTTGTTTGCCTACTTATGGCAGGTTATTCTATAGTTGGATAGTAGCGCATTAACACACCACCCATAAAGCAGTCCGGATACTCGTTGGGGAAATATGCAATTGTGGTTTACTGAAAGAGAAATAAAAACATAGGAATCAACATATAACTACCGCTCACGGGTAACATAGTTTTACAAACATTAAACAAATATAGATATTAAATTATATTAACCATTTGTATTACAAAACGCAAATAAACATACAATGCTCAAAACTGAGCGGCATTAACGCAGCAAAAGGCGAACTGCGATCAGCGCGATATGTTTATTTTAAATTACAAACGTATAAAACAATAAACATTTGCTCCGGTTACAAAGCATAGTTGCGGTACGAATGAACTGCATACTTACTCAGCATGCACGCACAACTACACCATAAACCCAACAAAACTTTGTATAACTACGTTGAACTCTGCATCCAGCCTAAAGGAAAGCGAAGAAGAGAAAGAAAAAAAAAAAAACAACGTGGGGTCCTGCGTGACGCCTCCTATGGCCGAAATCATGCCTGCTCAAAACACTGCACAATTAAACAAACCGCTCATTTAACAGCCTTTTCTACAGTAGTAGTAGTAGTTTCTTCTTTATATAGCGCCCTTCTAAGACAAAGGTCACAGAGAGTTGAACAACAATCCAATATAAAATGGAACAAAATGAATAAAGCACAAATATTACCAATAAAAATAAAACAAAGAGGAACTACTCAGCACTGATTAAAAGCCTGTTTAAAAAGAAATATTTTTAGTTGTTTTTTAAAAGGATCAACAGACTCAGCTGTGGGCAGACCATAAGGCAGGCTGTTCCATAGTCTTTGTGCCACAGATTGAAAAACACAGTCTCCACGGCTTTTTAGCTGAGTATGTGGGACAACTAAAATTTTAAAATGAATTCTATAAAACTCTGGGAGCCAATGCAGTGTGTGCAGAATGGGAGTGATATGATCACTCCGGCTAGCACAACTTTAAAGCTTAGCGACTGCATTCTGGACTGACTGGAGACATGAGAGAGGACTTACTCAAACCCATATAAAGATCATTACAGTAATCAAGTCATGAGGAAATGAAAGAATGCACAAGCATCTCCAATTCTGACTTTGAAACAGCAGTTCTTAGTTCAGAAAGGTTTGACGTTCTGGCAGCCCCTGGTCTTCTCCTCTCCTTATAGTGCCCAAGCCTGGGGGTGGATGGTGCCCCTGTGGGGACTATAGACGCCTTAATGATGCCACCACTCCTGACTGGTACCGTGTCCCACACATCCAAGATTTCTTCACCCATTTGGCCATTTTTTCCAAGGTAGACCTGGTTAGGGGCTACCATCCAGTCCCAGGACACAGGACATCGCTAAGACTGCTGTCGTCACACCGTTTCGTTTGTTTGAGTTTCTCAGGATGCCTTTTGGGCTAAAGAATGCAACTCAAAATTGTCAGCGTTTGATGGACAGTGTTGTGTGGGACATGCCTTTTCTGTTTGTTTATTTGGACGACATCGTAGTTGCTAGCAACACTTTTAGGCATCATTTCAGGCATCTCCAGGCATTGTTTGAGCATCTCAGTGGTTATGGGTTGATTGTAAATGTTAGCAAGTGTCATTTTGGTGTCCCTTCTGTTGACTTCCTTGGCCACCACACTACCTCAGAGGGGGCGATGCCTCTCCCCGAGAAAGTTGCCGCTGTCTGAGATTTCCCACAACCAGTCAAATCTTTGCAGGAGTTTCTTGGAATGGTTAACTTTTACCATCGTTTCATCCCTGACGCTGCCCGCATTATATTTCCCCTGTACTCTGCACTCAAGGGTGTTTCAACTAAGGTGGTGGTTGACTGGACTGGGGACCGATTTCAGGCATTCCGTAATGTTAAACAGGCCTTGATGGATGCTACGTTGCTAGCCCACCACTTGCTGGATGCTCCCATTGCTGTCACTACAGATGCTTCAGATGTTGCTATTGGCGCAGGATACAAGCAGTTCGTTAATGGCGAATGGCAGCCGCTGGCCTTTTTCAGTCGCCAGTTACGCCCTAATGAGCGCAGTACTTTCGACCGTGAGCTACTTGGTCTGTACTTAGCTCTGCGCCATTTCCGCTTCTTGTTAAAAGGGTGTCCGTTCACTGCTCTGTTGGATCATAAGCCATTGGGGGCTGCAATGAGCAAGATTTCATATCCTTGGTCTGCCCGTCAGCAGCGTCAACTGGTGTTTATTTCTGAGTTCACGACAGACATCCATCATGTCGCTGGCAAACACAATGTAGTGGCTGATTGTCTCTCACATTTGGTGGTTGGTGCTGTCCACTTTGGCTTGGATTATGCCCTATTGGCAGCTGACCAGGCCTCCGACAGCAGGATTCAAGGGTTGTGGTCTGCTGACACATATGCTTTTTGGTGACACCTCACTGCTTCGTGATGTCTCCACTGGAACTGCGCAGCCCGTAGTGCTGTGTGGCTGATGGCGTTGTGTGTTTAAGGCTGTCCAAGGCCTTTCCCATCCTGGCCGCAAGGCATCCTAGAAGCTGCTTTCAGCTAAGTCTGTTTGGCAAGGGCTGAAAAAGGATGTACGCGACTCGGTTGCTTCTTGCCTTGCTTGTCAGCAGGATAAGATTCAGCTGCACACCAGGGCTCCTCTGGCTCCTTTCACAGTTCCAGAATGTTGCTTTGATCATGTCCATGTGGATTTGGTTGGTCCGTTGCCACCATCCCATGGTTACACACACCTTTTGTCTATCATTGATTGAATGACTTGCTGGCCAGAGGTGGTGCCATCAGCCTCCACAGCCACGGCAGATGTGGCTCGGGCTTTCATCAGCTCCTGGGTCTCTCGTTTTGGTGTGCCTGCTAACCTGTCATCTGATTGTGCGGCACAGTTCACCTCCGACTTGTGGAGTGCAGTTGCCCGTGAGTTAGGGATCACTTTCCACCACACCAGAGTCTTAAAGCACTTATGTAAGTCGCTCTGGCTAAGGGCGTCTGCCAAATGCTGTAAATGTAAATGTAAACACCACTGCTTATCACCCACAAGCTAACAGGTTGTGTGAGGGCTTTCACCACTTTCTGAAGGCTGTCCTTCATGCATCTCTTCAGGGTGCTTCTTAGTCTGACAGGTTGCCGTGGGTTTTGCTTGGTTTGTGGACAGCTCCGAAGGCTGACCTGCAAACTTCATCTGCTGAGTTGGTTTACGGGCAGCCTTTGCGAATGCCTGGTGATTTTCTTCCGGATACGTCAATTTCATGGTCGGCTGAGCAACAGCGCTTGGTTTTTCAGGACACTGTGGCCGGTTTTGGTCCAACACCTACGTCGCACCATGGTTTTCCCCGGTCTCACGTTCTCCCAAAGCTGGCACGCTCGTTTTGTTTTTGTTCGGCATGACGCCCATCGCGAACCTCTGCACCCCCCGTATGACGGGCCTTTTTGCATGCTGCAGCCTTGAACAAGTTTTTTGCTTTGGACAGGGTTGGTAAGGCCAACCGTGTTTCTCTGGATCGTTTGAAGCCAGTCCATTTAGATTTGGATGCACTGGTGCCACTGGGCCAGTTTCCTCGTAGGGGTCGCCCGCACTGTTCGGTCCCAGCGCCAGCCCCGGTTGTGCCTGCTCCTGCAGGAGGTACTGTGAGCAGGTCCGGGTGGGTGATCCGACCCCCTAAGAGGTGGTTTGCTCTGCCCCTGTGAATTCTGGGGGGGCCTGTGTAGCGGGTTCTTAGTTGCTCAGAATTCCAAGGTCAGATGTGCTTTTATTTTGAAGGTACGTTTTTCTTCCGGCCAAAGTTTTTCCGCTTTAGCAGCAACCAGATATGCTCCTTTTTCCTTTTTTATTATTAATAAAGTTTTATCTGTGGAGATGACAGCGGACTTTAGGAGGCACCTTCAGGCATTTCTTCCTCTCACCATATCCAACAACAATGGTGGAGACCTTCAAGTTTCTGAGAACAACCATTTCCCAAGACTTGAAGTGGGAGCCCAACATCAACTCTGTCCTCAAAAAGGCCCAGCAAAGGATGTACTTCCTGCGGCAACTAAGGAGGTACGGTCTGCCACGGGAGCCGCTGAGCCACTTCTACACTGCTGTCATTGAGTCTGTCCTTTGCTCATCAGACACAGTGTGGTTTGGAGTAACCACTAAACAGGGAGACTGCAGTGAACAGTGAGGGCAGCAGGAAAAATCATCGGTGCCCCCCTGCCCTCCATCCAGGACTCAAGAACTAGGAAACGGGCAGATAAAATCAGTGCAGATCCGTCACACCTTGGACACAATCTTTTCCAGCTCCTCCCCTCTGGCAGGTGCCACAGAACTCTGTACACAAAAACCACCAGACATAGGAGCAGCTTCTTCCCTCAGGCCATCACCCTCATAAACAGCTAAGTTGTGTCACCTGCCTTCTGTCAATTTTCCCCTTAAACTCTGTTTGCACTCAACCTCGCACCTTATACTTGTACAGTGTTACCCATGTGTGTATATTTTAAATTTTATTTCTTGTATAGTGTAATTTATTGTTTGTACAGTGTCATTTATTGTCTGTGTACTATGGAGTCTCAAGCAGCCGGAACCAAATTCCTTGTGTATCCCAGCACACTTGGTGAATAAAGGTGATTCTGATTTCATCCTCCTTCACAGGAAGAAGCTGTCTCCTGTCTTTTCTCCTCTCACCACACGGTACTTTTAGCACCTCTTCTCCAGCAGCCCAAACAAAGCAATCAGAAGATTTGGTTCATACTAAATTTTACCTTTATTGACAGTTTACAGGAGAGATCAAGAGAACATGCTCTTCTGGAAGGTTAAAACTTCAAAGTGTTTTACTTGTCAAATGCAGTCGTACTTGTACAATATACAGTGAAATGCTTATTCTGGCAGGATATGCTTTTCGGTGGCAGAGTTAAGCATTACGCTTAACTCTGCCACATAAAATTAGAGAAACTGTAATCTAAAATATACAGAATATACAACTATAGAAATATATATAAAAAACAATAACACAAAAATACAAATAACACAACAGAACTATAGTCAGTGTGATAGTCAGTGCAAGACTCTTTGTTCCAAGGTATCCATAGGGATACTTAGCCAGGTCCTTTAATACCTGCTGTCACCAGTTGTCACACCATCCAAGGCTGAATCGCACAACCATGACAGTTTATTAGTGGACGACATCCCATGACAGGCCAACAGCAGCAAGTCTGCAGAAAGTTCAGCCATTTTAGTTGTAATGTGGTTGTTTTGACTTCTTGGAGCAAACTATTTCTAATTTAAAACAAGGATCGAGTAGATGATGTCAGATAAATTTATAATTAATATTTGCATATGGTAAAGATTTCAGCCAGTGTTGAAACTGCAACATTTGGGTCATACTGCTATTAGGGGCAGTGGTGGCTTAATGGTTAGGGAAGCACACTTGTAATTGAAAGATTGCTGGTTCAAATCCCCGACCAGCAAGGTACCCTGAGCAAAGTACTGCCCCCAAGCCCTGCTCCCTGGGTGCTGAATTAACTGACCCCTGCTATGTCACATATGGGTTAAATGCGGAGAAAACATTTCATTGTTGTGCATCGTGTGCTGAGGTATGTAAACAATGATCCCCTAATTCTAAAAAAAATTAAGTAAATAAGTGGTGGTCAGCCCACAAAATGATGCGATGTGAAATTATCTAAGGTTTTCACATGGCATAAATGCTGTTCAGTTTATAAAAGGGATAACAGACAGGTATGAGTGTAGAATAAACAAATCAACAAGCAACACAAATAAACAAAACAATACCCACCCCTGTCACTGCCAGAAATCTGTGCATGGAGATATCTATCTGCCACATCAGAGTCCTGCACTGTAACATAGTTAAGCTGCATATGCTTATTAGCCAATCCATTACAGGTTCTGGAATGTATTCAAAAAGGGGGCCCATATTTCCTGAATTTTCCATTTGAATGTTGGAGTAAATGTCTAATTTGCTCGAGTTTTAAGCCGGACATAATGTCCGCTAACCATTGTGCGTGAGGCATGGCAAGGCATGGCAAGTTAATTTATATTATATAGCATCTTTCATACACTGCAGTCATTCAAAGTGCTTTATGCATAAGAAAAATATAGAATACAAAGAAAATTCTAATTCAAATTAAGAGAATGGGCGGGGCCACAACTCTCCACCTCAGCAGGGTGGCTTGCCAAGCCAGAAAGGAGGCACCGGAGAAGGCGTGTCCTTTTCCCGTAGTTAATTGCACCTCCTCTCCAACAACCCAAACAAAGCAATCAGAGGATTTGGTTCAAGGTTAATTTACTAATGTATTAAATGATGCATTAAATGTACTGGAGGTGCAAAAGTAATTACATCCCCTCAGTTTTTGCTCTTCTACTTTCTATCTTTCCTTGCACTTCACCGTTACTTCCAAGTGAATGCCGGTGCTTGTGATCAACCAATCAGTTTATTGCTGTGTAGGGATGCCAGTTAAAAGCCTCCACAGTAAGTCATGTTCAAACGTAAAAATGACCCAAGTTGTGTCCAAATTCAGGGGGTGCATCCTACGAAGGACGAGGTCTACCAAGGCATAGCCATGTTCTCTCAAGGTCAAACGGAAAGAGCTGTCAAATGGGAGCATCTGGCTGTCACCAGCTGTTCCTGCCCTTATCCTTGAGTCACGAAGGGCCGCTCTTATCGCTTAGCTGAGACATGTGAGGCTACATTGAGGGGTGGGGGAGCATAAAGGCAGTAACCACCAACTCATAGCCAATTCATGCTTCACTTTTCCACGTGCGCTTTCAGTTGCGGTAAAGGGGACGTGATGTAAATATTGTCATCAGGGCTTGGCTGTGGACGGCTGTGGTAGGTGCAGGCGCAGCCCAGATTTTTATGTCTAGCAGAAACCATGTGCTTCCACTGCACATGTGCAAGATAATGACTAGGTTTATCCAGTAGGTGGCATGTATTTAAACTCAAAGCTCAAAGTAATAAATATCAATAGTTCTGGAAACCTCTTCTCATTTATATTTGTTCAAGATTAATGATATATTGCTACTTAACCCATAAGAGGTAAGGGTGAGAAAATATTTTTAAAATACTTTTGCGTTCCCTCATAATACTTTTCTGTTACCAGATGGGCTGCCTGGGTGACGCAGCAGCACAACACCAGCTCCAATCAGCAGGCTGGTACACTGGTACTGGGAGTGCTGTGCAGAGTGGAGGGAGAACCCCCCCGAGTTCTTCCCAGTTGATTCTGGGGTTCACCAGGGGTGTGTTCTTGCTCCTACTCTGTTCAATGGTTGTATGGACTGGGTGTTGGGCAGGGAGCGTCAGTTACGGCGCTACGGCCATGTGGCGCGTTTCCCTGAGGGTGATCCGGCTCACGGGATCCTCATTGCTGGGGACCCGAGCAGCTAGACCAGGCCCACGTAACACCTGGCCGGGGCAGATGGTTGGCCATCTCCGGAGGGTGGGACTGGACCGTGCATCTGCCTGGGGGGTCGCTGGCCAGGATCCCGAGGAGTTTCGCCGTGTGGTGGGTGTGACAACGCACTGCATCAGTGCATGCTCCCCAACCTGACCTGTGTCCGTTTAAAGTACAAAACATAGAATTAAAGGATTAATAGCATAAACCTAAGCAATACAGGCATGTCCAGTGAAGTGTGCTTTAAGCATTAAGCTATGGGGGACAATTTACACCATGTAACCTCCATATATGTGTTTCCTTACCTATTTATTGATAATTGCACTGTGTCCATTCGCCACCAGTAACTGTAACCAAGACAGCTACTGAACGTGAGGTGCACACATAACATTATTTAGGTTTATCCTTGCAGTACCGCAGTTAAGTTCGTTATATTTGACATCAAGTTGCAGCAAATAGCAAGTGGGCAAAGTGCAGTGGGATCGCAAAACGATCCCACTGCAGTATTTTCCCACCCTAACCTTTCAGGGGCTCCGTATATTACACCTATGTCTTGATTATTATTGATTTATACCAAAAAATCATATTTTATCACAAGAATAGAATAGTACTTTCAATGAGAAGTATGACCAGGCAGAAGTAAATAGTAAATATTAAGCATAAAGCTGACATCAATTAAGTAGTTTTTAAAAAAAAACTATTTTATTTAAAAAAAAAACCTGATTAGACTTGAAACGTGTAGTTATAAACTATATCTCTTCCTGCTTTTGCGTAAGCTTCATTTGTATCTATAAGACATCTGCCCTCTGCTGTTATCGGAGCTCTTCCCACATAAGGCTGTTTTGTCCTTATTTATAACATTTTAACGGAGTTTGGAAGACAGATGCCTATAACCTGGGTGCATGCTGGGGGGGGCGCTGTTCGCTCTGACCTAGGATGCTTTCGAAAACCATCGTGCTGAGCTGGTTGAGATAGACCGAAACCGTGGATAACAGCGAAATAATCCGCGGACCCAACATTTAACATGGTTCTCGAGTACATACATATGGCACTGTTTAATAATTGCCGCACATTAAGACATTGACACCATTGAATACAGTCATAATGGCATTGTACTTTGAGGCACTCGCTCTAATAAAAGGAGTTTGCTGTTTTTTTACGTCGCAAGAAACGATACAGCAAATAAAATAATATCACGTATCATGGGATGACGAAAGTGTGAAATGAAAAACTGGTTTTAAAATCTTCGTCTATTGTGGGTGCGTGATTTTAAACTTGTAAAATTAGTTTTTCCCCAGTCCTTGGTAAGCAGCAGGTAACTGACACCCAAGATCACATGGTAGCATCGACTTAAAAATCCAATTAAGATCCATCAAAACCGCACATTTCCAGACCTAACGTTCAGATTATTGGATTTTAGACTAAGCACTCCCAGAAAGCCTATGTAAAAAATACCCCACACACACACACACATGTTCAGGATGTTTTGCTTTTCGTTATTTTGAAGGTGGCTCTTAAAAGAGCCGTTGTTTCGGTTTTGTTTAGACGTAAAACCAATTTATGCACGTTCGCCACGGATACGACGAGCCAGCTGAATATCTTTAGGCATAATGGTGACTCGCTTGGCATGAATGGCGCACAGGTTGGTGTCCTCAAACAGACCAACCAGATAGGCCTCGCTTGCCTCCTGCAGCGCCATAACAGCCGAACTCTGGAAGCGCAGGTCGGTCTTGAAATCCTGAGCGATTTCCCTCACCAGACGCTGGAAGGGCAGCTTGCGGATCAGCAGCTCGGTGGACTTCTGGTAACGCCGGATCTCTCTCAGAGCCACGGTTCCGGGCCTGTAGCGATGAGGCTTCTTGACGCCGCCTGTGGCCGGAGCACTTTTACGTGCCGCTTTGGTAGCCAACTGCTTCCTGGGCGCTTTGCCGCCGGTAGATTTACGCGCAGTCTGCTTGGTTCTTGCCATGCCTACGAATTCACCTTAATCGGAAAAACAAAATAATGGTGTTTTTCGCTGCGACACGAACTTATAAAGCAGTACTAACCTGCTTTGATTGGTTGAGGTTCTTTCCACGCCTCCTTTGGTACAGTGGCGTCTTCGTTCCTCTTCTTATTGGATGATGAGCTTTGGCGCCCAAAGTCAAATACACTGCTCCCTCTATCCATTTTTATCGCAAGTGATCTAAGGAAATCATGGTCTGACTATGTTACAGAAAATGTTCACAAACAGCAGTTGAAAACACACAGACTGAATGAATGGGTATGGTTTCTAAACATAAAGCATGTTAAAATTGGATTTATGGAGTAGAATAATATTCAGTAAAGGACTTTGCTGTACAATTTGTCGTATTCACAAATAAAAGAAATATACAGCACATTTTGTAATTCGGAGATTGATCATTATCGCAGTTTGCGCATTTCATACGTATGAGATCAACTAATAGCATATTCTGAATATTTTGGGCAGAACGTCATGTACAACAATACCACAGTCCGGTCAGTTTGCTTTTACACAATGGTTTTCGCTCTCTTCACCCCGCCTCCTCCCATCTTGTACAGAACCTATCCCGTACCTACGGAAAAGGCAATCTATCTAGTTATCTAGTATACGTTTGCGTATGTTTTAAGCACGCTTCATTTGACACAAAACTCCGCCGTTTAAGTTTTATTAATGCATGCACTGGCAGTTTTAACATTTTGGCCCTTTTGCGGAAGACATGGGTGGCTCTTAAAAGAGCCGTTTGATGGTCAATGCAAGTCCAAGACAGTTTACTTGGTCTTAGCCGGCTTCTCAGTCTTCTTAGGCAGCAGCACAGCCTGGATGTTAGGCAGCACGCCGCCCTGTGCGATAGTCACACCGCCCAGCAGTTTGTTCAGCTCTTCGTCGTTACGAACGGCAAGCTGCAGGTGACGAGGAATGATGCGCGTCTTCTTGTTGTCGCGGGCAGCGTTACCAGCCAACTCCAGGATTTCAGCAGTGAGATACTCGAGCACAGCAGCCAAATAGACTGGAGCTCCAGCACCAACTCGCTCAGCGTAGTTACCTTTGCGGAGCAGCCTGTGGACACGGCCAACAGGGAACTGCAAGCCAGCCCTGGAAGAACGAGTCTTGGCCTTAGCCCGAGCTTTGCCACCGGTTTTACCTCTTCCGCTCATTATGTCACTATAGTGAAATATCAAACAAATGTTACTTTCCTTCTCGGCTTCTTCATTTATACGACATACAGCAATTTCATTGGCTGCACCCGTTCATATGACGTTGTCCAATGAAATTGAAGGACTGAACCTCTCAGAATCTCATTCAATGGTAGCGCGGTAAAGTTAAAACATAATTCAAAGTAATAATTTAATATGCAATTGAACTTTCTATAAGCAGTATTTTTCATCCGATAATGAAAAACACTGTAGGATAATTATTATTTATTCACAAAATGTATTAACGGTATCGTTAGAAGAAAGGTACTAAAACCTACAAATCAAGCCAGAATTCTTGGTGTAGTTATATACTTGGTCTTTAATATCAAGAGCTGCATGAGGACAGCCTACTACCACCTTACAAACACAGCAAGAATTAAAGGATTTTTGTCTAATAATGGCTTTTATAATAGCATGTATTTCGTGGCAAAAAAAATAAGACTGACTACTTGTGCAGTATAGGATTGATTTTGAAATACTGATTTGAATAGAGAACAAAATTGCCTCGGACCTAAATACATTTCTGATATACTTGAACATGATGAGGCACTCACACGCCTGAGGTCACCTGGCAAAGGTTTACTCAGTGATCCGAGACCAAACAAGACGAAGCAACGTTCAGTTTCTGTCCTCCCCGTCCATGGAACAAGCTTCACGAAAGCCTGAGGTCTGCTAAAGCGGTTAGCCCATTTAAATCAAGGCTAAAACGTTATTTGCTGCACATATTGAATAAATAAAGTCAGTCACACTCTCTACAATGTACAGTAACTTGTATTCAGTGAACTATTTGTTTGGCTTTCGGTTTTTTTTTAATGTAATTTAATAATAATTGTTGTTCTTTTAAATGTGCTCTTCTGCTTCAGTATAGAACTTCGAAATGACTTGCATTCGGTAACTATGTAAAATGTTGTTTTACCACACACGATACAAATAGAAAAGTCTTGTTTAGGTGAAATATAATTTAAAGAAGACAACGCTCTGTGTCTGAGATCAGTGGGTGGCTCTTAAAAGAGCCTTTGTTCTCCAAGGATTGGAAGTCAGCGCCTGTTCCTTCACTTCTTCTTGGGAGCGGCCTTTTTGGCTTTGGTGGCCTTGGGTTTAGCGACTTTAGGCTTGGCTGCCTTTGCTTTCTTTGGGCTCTTGGTGGCCTTCTTTGCTGCCGCCGGCTTTTTCGCCTTCTTGGGACTCTTGGTCGCCTTCTTGGCTACGGCCGGCTTCTTTGCCTTCTTGGGAGACTT